ATGCATCACTACAAGTGATTGGATCCGAATTGCCCTATATAAATAGACGGCAAATCCGCCGTTGGATTATACTGCTCATGAATATTCGATGGAAATAGTGGATGACGGTAACCATCTTATTTTATCAACTTTTGTGATGGTTGTCATTATCCTGGTTGCTGTAAAAGAAGGTAGTATGTTCTGCTGAATGAACAATGGTGAAGACCATATAGAAGAGACTATAAGAAAAAAGATACATAATCTGTTAAAACCAACAAGGTCTTCCTATATGCAGAATCTAAGAATGATCTCCCCAGAAAATTCAAGTAAAAGTGGAAGCGAAACTTAACTCTGCATTGGATAGTCGTCTAGTACTTATCATTATCATGAAATAAGTTATTTTCAGTACTGTGCACCGGATTTCTGCATTACTGTTACTATAATAATAATCCAAGACATACATCATCACTACTATTCTTCCTACATTCTATACGAATTTGCTCCCATCTGACTTGAAGGTAGTGACTCCGGACACTGAATGTCCCGTCTAAACATCTAAAGAATACATCCTGGTCTATTCCTCACAAAACTTGACCAAACGACTACAACCACTTTGAGTCGAACAAACGAAATACACGACAGTGAGAAAATAACCACGATAAAGCCCTCAACCCGAATACTAAATCCATGAAAACTCCTCAACACGCCACACTATACATCTTGTGCGAGCACAGCCCCGTTAACAGCTCTATGGTCTTCCACCGGGTAGACTAGATAGAGAGATGTCACGACGGAAAAACCGAAGAAATTCGATTTCTCGACTAACTAATGCTCCCCCACCTCCCTCCCGCTCGGTACCAAAAATAGATACGGTTGTTAGATGTAGATGTAGGATTCTTAAACCGATGTACTGTACTACTGTATTGGAAAGGAAGATGTAAGTGGTGCTATCTATAGATTTTACTGTTGGAGTCCGGACTGGTTATGGAGTAAATATAGCTGGTCCGGTTGTGAGAGAGTCTTGGTTAAAGGGTGGCGGAATTGTTGGATGGATGTGGTTGCGTCTGTTCATGGTTTTCTTTTCAAGATTACAATTTTACTACACAGTAATGTGTCAGAAGAATAAGATGGAGATTAGATGTTTTGTTTGGGCCATTTGTAGCTGACAATATGTAAAAAGTTGGTGGACTGTGATCAAGGCACAGGTCATTATGATGCTTTGGTCTTCACGCTTAGTCTTGATCAATTGACCGAGCGGGCAGATGATGAAACATTGAAGAAGTTAGCTGCAGGAATAGTCACTGTCCGGGTGTGACACGGCACTTTACACCTTCGCTTATCAATCATTACGATCATGGTTAGGTTCGGCTGATTTGGGTTACGCTCCTGCAAGATGGTAAACGAAACTCAAATACGAGCAGTCAAGACATGCTAATGTCGGTGTCATTTGTCTAGGCTCGGTGAAAGTTGGCTTGGCAAGTAGCCTCGGCTGTGGCATAACAACTTGTGCATGCCATAAAACCCCTTTTGATCGGACCCTGAAGCGTTCGTGGTTAATGTTCGGAGAAATATACACACCCCTGAAAGTACATGAATAGCACATGATGAGTCAGTAGCGTGTAGTTGATAGATTGACTGATTATCAGAAAATTCTTTGATCTTCGATCGGTGAGGCGATGCGGTGTCTCCGCGCGGAAGGCGACAGGGGTATCGGGTTGATTGCACGGAATACGCCGTTCCTGCAGCGAGGCATACATAGTACACTGGAGTAAGAATCGGATCGCGATCCTGCCGCAGACGGTGCTGACTTGATATTTCCCGAGGGGAGTGGAAGTCTGATCCAAATGAGGCCATCGGACCTTCCGACTGTGAGAGAAAATGACCTATCTCCAGAGACGACCAAGGCGGACTCAAAGACCTTTCATATCTCCTGAAGTGCCGGGTGAATATTTGATTCTTTGACTGGGTTCGCTTTTGTTTCAGCAGCGAAGCCCAGACGGAGAGAAATCGACTCGTGCGGTGCCACGAAGGCCTGGCCGCGAGAAGAAGACGAATGAGACCAGCGGATTGACTGGGGCGGAAGCAGCCGTCTGACGTTTTGGCCCGCGTGGCGCGGCCAAACTGCCTGAAACAGGGGGTCTGGACCGCATCCATTATTGGCCAGATGCTCCCAATGGGCGGATCGCCAAGCGTTCCTGGCAGTTGACTCTCGCTATTGGCTCTACCCGGGGTCGCTGTATCGTGTATATCCCGATTTTGCAGCGGGGACACCCAAAAAGAAGAAAAAATAGCAGCAGTCATACGCAGCACCAGTGGCTGTACAGGTACCAGTACACGCAGCATACCATACTGACATACACTTTAGAGTGTATGAACAGTGTCAGAGTATGTCAGTTACACAATGGCAGCAGCGCTCTGAACTTTGTTTTATGGAGCTGCCCCATGTCCAATGCGTGGCAGTCGTTGGTCTGGGAATTAATAAGTTTATGTTGGCACTAGATATTAGTTAGTAGATATCCCCATCAGTGAACTCCTGACGCATCGTCCTCTCCCATCAATCTTCACTTCTCGGGAATTTTTCAATCGTTGCTTACTACCTTCGTTTATCACCTGTCTCCATTCCCAGGTTGATCTTTCACGTTCGTTCCCGAAGGCAGGCCCTTCTTTGTTCTTAACCCCAAACCACCATCAGTCTCTCCTTTCGATTCCCAACCCACCGATTAATTTTCAGGTCAGAATGGGCGACGAAGCGAGCCATGAGAACCACCTGGCACCCACCACGGACCATGATGTGCCCACTATTGTCCTGGCAAATGAACTCAAAGAGCCACGGGGACGCTTGACACCTCGTCCTTCTTTTCTGGAGAACCTCGCCAGTTCCACAGACAGACAGTTCATGCTAGGAAGACGCAACTCTAGCGAAATCGATCGATATTTCGTATGTTAATATCAGGGTATATTATTGGGAGTGACCACTTGGACTAACAATAGACGTATAGCACGGACCGCGAGATCTCGATCGACACTCCAAATGGCCCACCTTCCTACGAATGCATGGCAGTATCATGCCGAAAATGATTTTGCCTCTTACTTTTGTTGCAGCTTGGGCCACCGTCATTACCTGCATTTCCAAATGGGTCCACAACAGTAGGTTTCTCTTGATGGCTATTGTGAGTGGACGCTGACCAATCTTCACTAGTCGGCATCAACGATATTCTCTTGACAGTTACCGGTTTTGTGGTCAGTTTGGCGCTGTCGTTCCGCAGTTCGACGGCATATGAGAGGTTAGTCTGATGCATGACCCTTGTGGACAGCTGCTAAACTCCGTAGATGGGCGGATGGAAGAAAATACTGGGCGCTCCTCAACCAGACGTCTCGCAACCTTGCGCGTACTATTTGGGTCAACACGGCAGAACGCGCAGGGGAGGCGGGCAAGGAGGACTTGCTGGCAAAGCTGTAAGACTCTTTCACACTTCTGATCATTACCATTTTTACTAATAAACGTAGGACGGCCATGAATCTCATTCTGGCGTTCGCCGTCTCCCTCAAACATAAACTGCGATTCGAGCCCGATGTGGGATACGAAGATCTAGCAGGCCTGGTTGCTCACCTCGACACATTTGCCAAAGAGGCCCACGACCGCCAAGTCGTTCAACCCCCGAAAAAGACGCCCTGGAAGTCAGTCGGTGAATACCTGGGCGTTTCCTTTGCCGAGTCCAACCCGAGAAAGCTTATCAAGCGGTCCAAGAAACCCTTGGGCCATCTTCCTCTGGAGATCTTGAACCATCTCTCCGCATATGTCGACCGGTGCATCGCCAACAATACTCTCAGCGTCAGTCTCCATCAAGGACAAGCCAGTACGTACCCGTCCCGATGTCTTTCAAAATATATCGCTAACTTCCCAGTCACCGCTTTATCCACCCTAAACGAAGTCCTCACCGGCACCGAGCGCGTCCTGGACACTCCACTTCCCGCCGCATACACCATTTCCATCGCCCAAATTGCCTGGATCTACGTTCTCGTGTTGCCTTTCCAGCTCTACGACTTTCTCGAATGGGTGACCATCCCCGCTTCCGTCGGTGAGTAATCCCATCCACTGCACGGAATACACTAATCTAACAATATCACAGTTGCCGCCTACATCATCCTCGGACTTGCCTTCATCGGCAGTGAAATCGAAAACCCCTTCGGTCACGATGTCAACGATCTTCCTCTCGACACCTACTGCCGCCAGCTCGCCGTCGAGCTTGACATCATCACCGCCATGCCCCCGCCCAAGTTGGACGAGTTCGGCACGCGCGAGGACAACTTCGTCCTCTATCCTCTCAGCACATCCGGATACCCCGAGTGGAAGGACCGCTCGGTCGAAGAGATTCGCGCCGCTCTGAGGGCAAAGGTTGTAGCCAACTATCCGTCCGCAGCGATGTCGGACGCCGCGACAATGATAGGGAGTGTGCGAAGCAAGCAGTCTGTTTGAGAGAGCAAGAGGTGATGGGTTAAAAGTTTAAAAGCAAAAGGATGGGAGGGTAGATCGTTTTGATTGATGTTTTGGGATGGTGTTCAATAAGCATGAGAGTCTGGTGTTCTGTTTATCATAAAAAAGAGGATGATGTTATGTATGGTTGGTTGGGTCGGTTGGGTCGGTCATTCGTTACTACTATTACTACTATACCAGGGTTGGTCATTCGATGTGAATATTTGGGAATCGAATCTTTTTGATATATCATACTACTTGCTTAAACTGGGTATATTATGCATAGCCTGCTTTATCGTACATCGCTTCTCCATTTGTAGAATGTCACAGACAACAACAATCTTCATATCCAACGAGACCCTTGCTATCACAAGCAGAACCTCTACACACCCCGTCCCAATCGCTAAGAACCGTAGGTCCTCCCACCATGCCACCCGTACCGCACTATCCCACAATATAACCCCCCCTCGACAATCCCATCTTAGCCATAACAGACACCACCCATCACCTCAAATATCATCCTCACCCCCCACCCAGATCAGATCGATCAAGGAATGAACACCTCCGCCCCACCCCCATTTACCAACGCCCCGAGATAATTCCCCTTCGCACAGACCCTCCACGCCACGCTCCCCCCTCCTCCCACATCACCACCTGATGTATTCGTAGTCGTACTCGCACTCCCTCCAATCCACGAACTCAGCGCCGCCACAACAGCCGCCGCATCATCGCGCGGCACGCGCGTCCATACTGTGCTTCCCAAACCCGCTCCTTCCCCTCCTCCTACTGATTTCCCTCCCGTAGATGTTGATAATGACGATGGCGAGGGTGGCGATATCTTGAGTATATCAATAGGGATAGATGTACCTGTTAATCCGAGGAATTGGGAGAGTGCGGCGGAGAGGTAGGTTCGGGCTGTGAGGGGGTCGAGGGGTGTGGATGTTGTGGAGGTGGGGGGGTTGTTTATTCTGTGAGACGGGAGGTGGTTAGTTAGTTGATTAATTGGTTGGTTGGGTGGGTTAATTGGGGGAAATTGGGAAGAAGATGGGACGTACAATTGGAGTTTGAGATATGTCCATGTTGGTGTGCGCGAGGTGAAGTGGATGGTTTTGGGGGGGTTGGTGGAGGATTTGCGTTCTGAGGGTGTGGTTGTTATTGTTGACATTGTGTATTTCTAGGTGGTGGTGTTTTAGAGAGAAAGAGAGGGTGGATATGTAGGTAGAGGGTGAGTACTGAAGTACGTAGGTATGGAGGAATTTGCGTTGAAAATAAACTGGGGGATATGCGATGCGATGCGATGCGATGCGGGCGGGAGAAAGTTGAGAAAAGAAAAATCCCCCGTGATGTGATGTCACGGCCGGCGGTGTCGCGCTTGCGGGAGCGATATTAACAACAATCACCACTGAAGATAAATAAGTACATGAATACCAACTAAAAAATAACTTATATATATATGTATATAAGCAATCATTTTTGCATAACAGCCCCCTCTAATATCCCCCGCGCCCTCTGTAAATACTCATCTTCGCTGTGCTTCCCAATATCCAGCTCCGAAATAGCAAGGGTCTTTTCTCGGGACTTTGATCCACGGATCACTTCTACGTTGGATTTGGGGACTTGGAAGATCTGTTCTACTTATTATTAAATGTTTTATATAGAATTTAAGTAGAGGATTCGGTTATTATTGAATGAGAAGGGGGGGTGTGTGTGTGTGTGCTTACCTGCGCCATAACACGCGACACGGCTGCGTTCGCCTCGCCTTTCCTGGGTACTGCGGCGACGCAGACATCTACCCTGTCTATTCCAATGGCGGTTATGCCCTCACGGTTGCTTGAGGCGTTTGGCTTTACGTGACAGGATATTTGGAGGGTGTAGAGTTGGTTGTTGGGTCGGGATTTGGTCGCCGCGGTTTGAATCAGGCGGAGGAGGGGGGTGGACATTGTTGGTTTATTGTGAGATGTGTGAGGGTGTGGAGGGGTGTATGTTGGAAGATGGGTTTGATGCGGTGGTGGATGTTTGGAGTAGATGTAGTTGTCTAATGGATGAGGGATTGCGGGTTAGAGGGTACTAGTAGTATCTATATCTGAGGCAGATTATTGGCTGTGAGATGCGGGATGTACATGGCTCCGATTAGGGTCATTTGGTGCCCTACTAACTATCTACATTACGCGCAACATGATGATGCTACTTGCAATGGGAGCTATATTATTTGTAGGCGCTTGAGTCACTACTATGGTAGAATTGGTTACTACTACTGTAGACTGCCTTATACTGTTTGCTCTATCCTAAGAACTCCGGCTGAGCAATCAGCTACTGCTACGGCTACAATGCAAAAACCTCATATCAAGCTGATACGCACTCAGTGTTACTCCATATAACTACCATCAAACCAATTGTTCATTCCTTAACATACCAAACCACAGCCCACAGCCCACTGCTTCACCAAATTGCCCACTCGCAGCCTCTTGTGAGGGCATTAACAGCGAACACCCCAGCCTGCAGTACAGAACAAAGACAATTCTGTATTGAGTCACAATACCTAACCCAGCCGCTGCATTTAAACACCATTGAGCCACAGAAGCAACAATAGAGACCCACCCAAGAACAAAGGCCAATGTATTGATACCTTTGTTACTACGGGGCCCCAGGTCTTCAAGGTGGACCCAGTCACCGAGGTAGATCCAGCCTCCGGGATTCTGATTGGTCAAGTCAGATCTATAAGGCTCAGTGACTGCTATATTGGCGGCTGGTGCACTGGGGCACGCTGTCGGATCTGTCATGAGTAGTTCGCAGTCAGCTGTGATTTTGGGGATATTGGCCTTAACGATGCTAAATGATGGCTTCAGTAGATGACATGGTTTGCGGAATTGCGTACGCAATGATAAGTCGAATATAGGCATGATTAGGTTCGTTGGACAGAGCTGTGTCTGCTCAATCGCTCATCTTCAGGATAGCCCAAAATGATCGTCAAAGCCGCAGAAACAGCCGTCCTAACGCATCATATAGAAAACTTTGAAGAGCTCGACAGAGCATCCCGAGTGAATATCTCTTCTCCAATTCGAACAATGAAGTTCTGCCCATGGACCTTACCCTATGTCGAGCTCTATGCCAGCCTCTCTATTAATTCTATGTTATTAAATGAGACAATGGTCCCCCGGAACTCCAGACGACTTAGTCGAACATCTTCCTCTTCTTTTCCTCTTGCGAGTTCTCCAGCCAGTTCGTCTGCTCCGTGTACAGTCTATCTGTCGTTTCGTGCTTTTCTTCGTTTGAAATCGTTCGTGGATAGTAGCAATTTTCAACTGCGTGCCAGGTTCAAGGCTTCGTTTCTCTCATACAGTCTTTCGGAAAAGGCTTCCCTTCTGTTAATCGTTCTCGGTCAAGACAACGACATAACCATCTTTCACAATGGCCATTCTCTCGACCGAAAGCACCAATGCTTTCCAGGACATGTTGAAACAGAACTATGCAATGAGTTAGTATACCATCCACAGTCGGGATCAAGAAACTAACAAGAAGCAGTGCAAGCTTCGTTTCAAGAATCCGTTCAATCTGCCTACCATGAGGCGTGCCAAGCCCAAGCCGACTCAGGCGACTTTACTTCTTTCCATCCTGAGCAGCAAGACTGGTCATGGGACAATCTGCCGGACATCCTCTATCAGCTCAAGCCTACTGGCCCTAAAAGCAAGATCGAGCCGCCAGATATGCCGTACCCCATTAACGGAAAGCTCCTGCGCGACATTCCCGTCTTGCCTGATCACATTGCCTCCGATGTTGACGAGTTTCGTGTGGAAGCTTGGATGCGTCTCGATAGACGGATCCGTCTCAGCGATATCACCGACCGCATGAGTCCCGAATTTCGTATTGCCCCCAATGCACTTCAGCAGCGCGGCGGACGGTTCAGACAGGCGTTTGGCATGTTGGCCTGGGATTCAGGAAACAAGCTGAGTCGCGAGCTTGAGTCCAAATTGATGCAGACATTGATGGAGCACGGCATTGATCCTAACCTTAATACCACTCGGGGACTTACTCCCGGCTTGATCATTCCAGCCCTGGGTGAAGCTGGCGGACGGATCCCTCTCCCACCTACCTACACGTTGGAGAAGCGCAAGAAGCGCAAGCGTTGTATGCGGGCTACTGGGCCCAAGAAGCCTAAGAAGATGCCCAAGGCACAAGAGCAGATGCTTGTCAATACAGCAAAAGAAGCTCTGCGAGTCTTTCAGAATGTCGGACCTGCCCCATCTCAGAATGGGATCGACAGCGGAGTTCCTACCAACTCTCAGATCAAACAGCTTATGATGCCCGGTGAAAGTGTGTTCGCCGTTGAGATACCTGCTCCCGACACACTTTCCGTCCCAGTTACCGCTATTGTCCCTGATTTGGACGAATCGAATGTCAATGAGGACTGGCCGATGTCTGATGCGGTCCAGGTCGAGCCACTATACAAGCTTGTCCCCGCCGAACAGAACCTTGATCAGCCAACTGGGCCACTGCCTGTGTTCCGGGGTGAGGTCCCGGACCTGGAACTTCCTGGCACCGTGTGCCCGATGGACCTTGACATGACCTTGGGTGCGAAAAACCCATGGAGCGACGGCTACCGAGTCCTGGAGACGGTTGGCCATTGGACGAAGGTCGAGGTAAAGTCAACCAACGGCCTGAAGCCAGGAAAGTCCGGCGATCAAACACTCTTCAATCCATATGAAGAGATGCAGCTCCCGACTCCAACCACGGTGCCGTGTTGTGCAGACATTAAGGCAAGGCAGCCAACAGGCGGGCTGTTCCTGATGAAGCCGCCTTCGGCCCTGGATGCATTGCCAAACCCCTACCAGGTCGCTTTATTCAACCATTGCCTCCGGGAGTTGAATTTCGGGGAACAGTATGTTTTCAATCTGCCATTTTTCGGCCTGTGAACAAGTTTCACAATATCGGTCTTGACTTGGGCCTTCCGATTTTATTGTTTCTGCGATCGTCTGATGCTGTTCAGTTAATTCGTTGTTCTGTATATTTATTTGCTTTTCCGTTGTTATTCTGTTTCCCTTCCCTTCCCTTCCCTTCCGTTTTCTTTCCTTTCTTTTTCTTTTCACAATATGGGTTTTTGTTTTTTTAGATCTTCTTCAGCAGCGGAAGTAGAGAGGTCGAGATAAGGTTGGGCGCCAAAAATGACTGCCGCGCTTGGTTTGGCTTTGATTTGAATCTTTATTTGTTCTTGCAGTATTTGTTGCGCGCAGCCGGAAAGGAGTTAACATGAAGCGAATACCCTCGGTGTACTGTTAGTTGATGTTCATTAGGCATTCAGACAGAGATAAATAATGCTACTACTTCATGCAAAACGAGCTTGCGATCGCATTAGCTTCACATTATGTTCAGATGATGCTGTCTGACGGCTTCGTATCACGGAGAATATGTGAGCTTGGAATCTTCCTGCTAAGGCTGATTTTTATGAATGAGATACCCCCAGCCGAATTTGCATGGCATCATCCATACGAAGCATCCAAAGGCTCTGAGGGATCGGCGGGTTCCTGCATAGACGGCGAGATCTTTCCGACGTCAGGGTCGTGCGGAGTGAGTTGCACGGGTCTCGCCGTTACCGAGTCTGTTCAAGCAGGAGAGAACCACAGGTCACTTCCTAATTTCATATATCAGACAATTCTTCATTTCATCCTCATCTCCACATCATCTCCACTTTTATACTTCTACTATACATCTCCTGCTGAGTGATTAGATTAGTCATCCACTACTTAGTGGGGTGATTACCGACCGCCTTGGCTGCCGGCAGAAACAACTAAAATCATTATCTCCGCCTTATTAGACGCGCTGTTCCTGTAGCCTCGTCGCCTCGTTATTGCGCGCTTCTCTGCGCGTGCCTTTGTTTTGAATCTCTGCTTATCTGGAAGCTATTCTTTCGCTCGCTCAACTTTCCTTGCTCTTCAATTTAGCGATTATTTGTGTGGCTGGTGAAGTAATCAAGCACCGGAGATGCTATATCCGCCCGGCCGTTTTCAGACTTTCTCAGGCACCGGAAATACTTTTTGAAAGAGTGCTGGAGTATTTTGAAGATACCACCACCGCTCATACTTAAAGCCAGCCTGGCTGGCCCATTGAAATGGAGCCTGGCGGAGATCCTCTCGACTGGACGGTCGATGAGGTGGTGCAATTCCTGTGTCGAAATCCCCAGACACCATGGTCTCGGTCATCATCGCGTGCTCCACGACCGGACCCTGTCACATTTGAAGCTACGCTTCGGGAGAATGAAATTACCGGCGAGGTACTGCTGCATGATGTAGACAAAGAGACCTTACGGGAAGAC